CCCATCCATTTTGGAAAATGTTGTTTCCATTTGATTACTAAAATCATCCATTTGCAAAAGCCTTCTCTTTTTTAGAAGGGACTTCCTCAATCACTACAATAGGTTAAACTATTAGTCGATCTAGCCTCGTTCTTGAAGCCAATTTCCTACGCCTGTTATGAAGGCTTGAAACTAGCCAGACACTTTAGGGTTGTGTGAGTATAACTACCAACTACCACATATAAGAGATGGGTGAACCTCGCCAATGACGAAATTGGCTAGTCTGTGAGCGTTTTTTCTCTTGACTAGTTCCCCTGAGGCAAAATGGGGCAAGCTCATTCCTTTATGTGCGTACAACGACCCAATAGTCAGAAATTTAAGACAAAAACCCTACAACTAGGGGGCTGAGTCTGTAAATATTCAATTTGAAAAATATGTGCAAAGAAAGTGTTCTACTATGCTTCGCTGAATAAAATTGCACTTACAAGGGCAAGATTAGCAAAGACCCCCCAATAAGGGCAATAAAAAAAAAATTCAAACTCCCCACAACAGGGGCAAAGTTGAGAAAGACCTCACAACAGGTAACAACACTTAATAAAAAAATAATAATGATAGAAAAAATTTTATCGGCAACACACCTGGTGTCTCCTAGCCAAAACATAATAAAATATATATATATATATATAAATAAATAAATGAAAACATTTTTTTTTGAAATGAGCAACACGCCTGGTGTCACTCAGCCTATGAGGGCGTCACGCTTGTGTCGCCCAAATATTTTTGACAAAAAACCTTTTTGTTTTTTTTTCAATTAAACCAATCTTTTCAAATAAAAAAAAAAAATTTCAAAAAATTTCATATGCTCCTTGGTGGTGTGAGCCTAAACTACCAACTGATTTCAAAATCTTCTGCTCCTTGATGGCAACATCCATCCGATTCCAAAATCTTTTGCTCCTCTGTGGCATGAGCTTAAACTGCCAACGGGCTTCAAAATATTTTGCTCCTCCGTGGCATGAGTCTAAACTGCCAACCAATTTCAGAAAAATATTTTGTTCTACAATGGCATAAGCCTAAACTGCCAACCAGAGTTTATCGGCAAACTCGTGCGACATTAAAAACCCGAGCTAACACGTCAAACTCGTGCGACGTTAAAACCCCGAGCTAACACGTCAAACTCGAGCGACGTTAAAAATTGGAGCTAACACGTTAAACTTGTGCAACATTAAAAACCCATGCTAACATGTCAAACTTGTGCGACGTTAAAAAGCTGAGCTAACGTCAAACTCATGCAACGTTAAAAAAAAATCGAGCTAACACGTCAAACTCATGCGACGTTAATGAGCCAAGACAGGTAACGTCTAGCCCCGTATGACGTAAAAGGTCGGGTTATCCAGTTCAATGTCAAACGCGTGCGACGTAAACGAGCCGAGACAGATACTGTCTATCCCCGTATGACGTAAAAGGTCGGGTGTATTGTCCGTCGCTGCATGACGCTAAACTGCTTAGAGGGCTCTATGGTTGTAGGAGTTGAAATTTCTAACCAATATTGCTTTTCGAAATATCTTTCTCTTTTCAAAGTTTTCACCATATGTCTTGTGTTTTCAAAAAATTTAATTTATTTGTTAAAATCGTAGCCTATCCCTGCTCCGAGTTCTGTTTCAAATCCCTTCCTACATTCAAAAATTTCTAAAAAGACTTGTAAAAAACAAAGGAGCTTGGACACCCGTATATGATGAACACCGCGTTGCCGCGATTACCGTGTTGCTGCCTCGCCTCTCAATTCGGAATTGATCAGACAAGTCTCGTCCTATAGAAAGCCTTTCCCTATAGACAGCCTTAGGAAACCCCTAAGGAAATCACAGAAATTGCCAGGGTTAAAATTATCAAACTGAGAAAACCTTGAGGTCAAGTGGTATGGCTATAAAATCCACCTCAAGTTTCAAGTTTGCGTAACTCGCTGACACCTCACGTCGAAAGCCCTAGGATGAAACTGCCCTAGGTAGGTGAGAATGAGTGTGCAATGACTTGGACGGATAGTTGGTGTGCCATCTGCCCACGTGACGTCGGGATGACATTCATCTTTGACATTCTCCTGCCCCTTGAAGGACAGGGAGCGTCAGAGAGTCTACTGTTGCTACTCACTTGTCCCTCAAAGGATAGGGCTCCTCGAAGGACAGGGAACGACAGCGTGTCTACTTCTTTGCCACTCTCCTGGCCCTCGAAGGACAAGGAATGCCAAAGAGGGATAACTGTAAACACTCGCTTTAAATTTGGCAAGTTCTGTGGTTTTCTTAGACCCTTAGGATCAAATTGACCTAGTAAACCAAATATCCATAGGTCACACAATTTACCCTGTGAGCCGGAACCATTCTGCCAACCCAGAACCCAACAGATGCCTGCTTTGACCTGGAATCTAGTAAACACGCTGTTTTACAAAACAAATCATTAAAAATAGTAAAAACATCCTTTTTGACCCAAATTTCTCTGAGAGCTTTACAAGACGCTGAGGAAGACACCCAAATTGAAAAACATCAATTTGGGCAAGTTTTGGTTTGGGCGACACACCCCGTGTTGCCCAAGTCATCTTACAAATATCCTATTTTACCAAAAAAATCATTAAAAACAATAAAAAAATTTGTTTTGATCCAAATGTTTTTTTGTAGCTTCACAAGAGGATAAGGAACACACTTGAAAAGAAAAATTTCCATTTGGAGCTTTTTTTATTTGTGCGACACAGGGCGTTCCGCCCAGGCGACACAACTCGTGCCGCCCAGGCTCGTTTTTTATCATTTTTCATGTTTCTAGGGTTATATTGTGGGTGGTTTGGCCACGTGGTGGTATCCGTGTTGCTCAAATCCAAATTTTAAAAAAATAAAAGATTAGTTTGATCAAGGGATTTGTTGGTTAGAGGATAACTCTGCCCCAACAAATCCCTCGTTTAGATGAACTTACTTTGGGTGACCATAAAAGGATGAAAAACGAGAGGGTTGAGAGAGGGATGACACTTTTAGAAACTTTAGGCTGGAAGAGAAACCCTAGGAGAGTAGAGAGACCTTCCTTGAGAAAACTCTAACCCTCATCTTAAGCCTAAGTAAACCTAAACCTAGGGCACAACAACCCTAGATCTGAACCATTTCTAAAGCACAACCACCCTACTACTACCAGAGACTTGCTGATCGACATTTGGACCACAAGGGCAAAAAAAACCGGTTCTGATACGGGCAAGCCCTCAAAAGCTCGAAAAGCCCGAGCGATTCGGCCCGGTTCGGTATTTTCTTCTCCTTTATTTCCTCTTTTCTTTTATTGTATTTATTTTATTTTGATCTGGCTTTGATTCATTCTGATTGAAAATTGTGTTTTGAAATGCTTCGGATCACGCTGGCTCCGCCACAAATCTAAGAGCAGATCTGCTCGTTTTTAAGCAGATCTAATCTCAGGTTTGAATTCGATTGTTCTCACTTTCTCTACCATTGCTTTTTCATTTATTTTTTATCAGTTGACAATGTCAGATCTGAAAGTACTACATCGTTAGATCATTCAATTCTGCTCTATAAACAATATTGTATAACAATACTTGATTATACAAAAAAAATGATTATTTGTTGTCCCAATTTCTATACAAAACAATCACGACATTCACCACACATATGTCCACTACAATACTGATTTTACCAAAAAAATGATTCTTTGCTGCCCCCATTTCCATACAACACAATCACCACATTCACCATACATATCCATTACAAAACTTAATTTTACCAAAAAAATGACTCTTTACTGCCCCATTTTCTTACAACACAATCACCACATTCACCACAACTATGGAACGTGTACCAAAAAATAGCTCTTGAAGTATAGCAAGGAGCGTGAAACAAAAAATGGCTCTTGAATCTTTTGCAAAAATTTACCACATCTTCTGTGGAGCATCTTTTCGACCTACATTAATAAGAATAGTCTTGATCTATTACACACTGAAATAGCGGAGAATAGTGTTAATCTTTTACCAAAATACATAGTGATAAAAGTATGGAACACATGGAGAGAGACTGAGGAGCATCTTTGTTGGCTTAAGGGAACATGAACTATTTGTGAACCTGTTGGGCATTTAGAGAGAGAGAGAAACCTTTAGAGAAAAAGGTTACAATGATTAAATTCTCAACTACTATTTTGTTGCACCAGGGAAGACATGATCAGATAGAAAGAGAGACAGGTCAAACAGAAAGATTAAAATACTTAAGAATGAGAGACATACAAATTTTAGTTTATACTTGATATCATGCAGAGTTATGAAGATCCATTGTGAGCCCTGTATAACAGCAAATTCTAATATTGTATATAAGCTAATTTTCTGACCCATGACATCCTGAAAGAGCAATCTATATCTGGTCACAAGCATAATACATAATTATGCTCTTACCATAATGCTTCTTACCATGAGTACATAAAATATTTCATACATACATACATACATAATACATAATGATGGTTACGATCAATACTCATGTCCTTATGGGACCGAATCTTACAGCGAACTTTGGAAATAACCCTGTAGTAAGAAAAAAAATTGCAATGTTAACATTTCATAATGTATTCACAATGAGTAATATCATATCGAAAAGCTTATACAATTAAAATTCAAAAGCATCTAAAGGTATGGATTACTACTTTTCACAAACGAATGATGGACAATTTCTTCTGTCATGCCCACTGCCCTAGCAAACTGTGTATTTCCTAGACTTCTCAATTGGCTTCCATCCCTTTGATCGAGCTTTTTTTCTTGCATTTGTCGGCTGTCCCTTTGCCTGTGCTCGTGGAGGATCATGGACATTTTGGCAATTGTAAGTTCCATTTGGTGTGTCACTACAATTAGTAGCACTCTTCTCTCATTGACATGGCTCATAGTGTCAACCTGTGGACGTCGCTTACAACCGAATTTACTATTAACCTCTATGATATCATTGTGTATTAAATATATTACAAATTCATGAACCTCCACACTTTCTGGCGCACACTCAACGAGGTATCGAACAGCCTGCAAGACGTTGTTATATCGAATGGAGTGTGGTAGTGCAGATGTATCATGAAGTTGTTTGTCTCTTTCATCAACAAAACCCCCTCTTTACGTTCTTTGACCAACACCTCATTATGTATTGTGGAGGGATTTCAAACATATTTTTCATCATAAAAATATTCAACACATGCTTGCAAAGAAGGTCCATCCTCTCATATAAGTGACAATTGCAAGAAACCATTTCTCATGGGGATTGAATTCCACCAAGTATGATCTAGAACTTATTCCCATATCTGCCACCTTAAAATTCGTAAACTGTTAAATTTTCATCAACTAACTCACTCATAAAATTCATACAATTAGCAACCCCTTCCACAAAAATCTTCAAAATATTTTGAGTATTGATTTTTGATGCCTGTGACTCAAATAAAGAAGTTGTTCTTAAGATTGGAGTAGTTCTAATGTCTTTTAAGTCGTTTTCCTTTTCTTTTCGTACCTTTTTATCTATTTCCAATAATGTATATAAGCTTGTTTTGCAGGTCAAGTACATCTTGCAATGCTTATTCATCCCTTCACTTCTTTGGGTAGAAGTCATACTTGCTGTGAACTTGCCCGTCAAGTATGCATCCACCTATTGTATGCGACAAGCATAGACCCTATTTAGCCATTCATTGCTTTCCAACTCATATTTTTCAATCATTAATTTCTATCCCAATTCAAAATCTTCTACTGTTTACAACTCCTGAAGGTATCTGAAAAAGAATGATGCATGCATAAGACATGGCATAGTTTTTCTTTAACTTTCGAAAGTACATGCCACTTACAGTAATGATGCTCACTCTGGTAAAAAACTTGTCTCATTGAGGCTGAAATTGCATGGTCTTGATCAGTGATAATAGCGCTTGGTTGTTATCCACTAAATGCTTCTAACCAATTTTCAAATACCTAAACAAATGATTGTATATTCTCGTCAAATGAGTGCAAATCCAGATAAGGTTGTATTGAAATGGTGATTTACACCAATTATGGGAGCAAAGGACATACTAAAAGTATTTGTTTTATATGTGGTATCAAATGTAACCCCATTAGAGAAGCATTGATAGGAAACTTTACATGTGGCATCTACCCATAAAATGCTGAGAATGTGATCGTCTTCATTTAATTTTAATCTATAGAAAAAGATGGGTTCAAGTCTTTCATTTTATAGAGCCATTGCATAATTAGACCACCATCTTCTCCTCTTAGTTTTCTTTTGGTACTAGCAATTTCATTTTCTATGTTCTTTTGTATACATGTACCATTCTCGATCCCTCCATCTTGTTCTATGAATATGTCATGAATATGTCTTGGCCTAACCATTGCCGAACCCATTGAATTTATCATCAACTTTGTGGCACTAGACAAAATTCGGTGGCTGCGAATTAGACAAGCTTTTCTTGGACTGACTAGATCATGATTGTAATCATCAATAAACCTAATCACAACCCACTCGTTGTCTACTTTTCTACTGAGTCCTAGCTTAGCCTTACACCCACACCTTGATTCAAAGAGTTCCTTTCCACTGACCTGCTCTTTCACTTTGCAAAATCCTTCCTTAGAGAAATTAATTTCTCTACTAATCATTTCACATATTTTATTATGGGTAGTGCCCAACCGGATACCAAAGCCTTTGACCAATGCATAAGCCTTATAATAAATAGTCAATTGCATCTTCCTTTGAAGAAAACTTTATTCCTACACAGGGTACATTTGTTTCTAGGCCTTTGGTTGAGGAGTCAGGTTCTCCATCTTGCATTTCTATAAATGTTTTAGGAGGGGTTGCAAAATAAGGAACCTGCTCCATGGGCTTATTCATGTCACCCAAGTTGTCTACAGTTGCGCAAGTGGGAGATTGCACAGTCTGAAATGGTGTGATCCATCTAAATTTTTCAACTGACCCCACATAGAAAGACAAACTATATAAATATATGTATTCAAACCTTTATATAAACATAACAACACTCCTAGTTAACTATTCAAGCCCATCAGTAGAGTTTTCCATTGAAATATCAAGGATAATGGGAACTTCATCAGTAACTTTTTCCATTGAAATAACAATGATAATGGGACAACTAATGAATTAAAAAAAAAAAAACCATTGAAAAATAAATAGCCCTAAAAAATGGTGATGAAAGAAAAATACGATGACCAATGATATGGTGATGAAATACAAAACCTCTACATAGCCAATCAAAAGCTAATAACATTTCTCATATGCAAACCCAATAGCACATAAATACAAATCCAATAACCCATAAATACAAAATCAAGCCTGAAAATTATAGGGTATTTTTGGCATCCGAGTTCTGCATTCAAAATTATTTGTTTTCTTTTGATTTTCGATCAATTTTGGATTTTCTCTAAACAATAGGTAATTGGATCTGAAACATGTATTTTTTTTCTCAATTTTATTTTGGGCATTTCGTCACAGGACGCCAATTGAAGATTAAATCTTCGATTTTAGTGAAAATTGGTTCATTTGAATCACTATTCATTAAAGAATTATATTTTTGGTTTAATTTTTTTAATTGCTATTTAGTTTTGTGTAGATCTAGCCCCAAAATTTAGGATTTTTCGGCTCCATATTTTGAAAATGCAGTACTAATACAAACCCATCATAGGGGTTTCAAAGCAAAAAAACACAAAAATATAGTATTAATACAAACCCATCACAGTAAAACACAAAAATACAGTAGTAATAGAAGCTAAGAATCTTCATATGCAAACCCAATAACCCATAACTACAAACCCATCATAGGGTTTTCAAACCAAAAATACAATACTAATCCGATCTATTCGTACCTCTGTGACAGCGAGCGAGAGAGGGCTTCCACTTCTGTTGTCGTCCGGAAGGTGTAGAGAGAGGGAGACGACAGTTTGGTAGGACTTCCCTGCTATAGTTTTTGAAAGATAGGGAGGAAAACGGGGAGAGAGAGAGAGAGAGAGAGAGAGAGAGATTGCGTATGAGAGGAGCAGAGAAAGAACATAAATGGCGAGTGGGAGCGATTTCTGTATTTCTGGTTTACAGAGAGAGAGAGGGTGCGAGGGAGAGATAGGGCTCGTCTGATTTTAGAGATAGAAAGGGAATGATAGCTGAATTCGTATGGTTTAGAGAGAGAGGGAGTGGGAGCATTGGTAGAGAGAGAAAAAGATTGAGTATGAGAAGGGTTTGAGGCAGTAGATAGGCATGCCATCTCTACACAGTAGGAGGGAGTTTGCAGGGCCATGCAGTCTCCATTTCAAATGGAGTTTTCCCTTTTTGCAATGTGAGTTTCCCTTTTGAATGGCGACCCTTCATCTTCACCCCTTTCATCCGGGTCGTTGGTGTACCACAATGAAATACGCGAACGGGTGTATGCCATCTTTTTCCCTTCATCTTAACCCTTTCATTCAAGCCGTTGGCGTAACACAATCAAATATGCGAATGGGCATATGTTATCTTTTCATAAAATAAATTGATCAAAATATTTTTAAAATATTTTAGAGGTATTTTGGTTAATTTTATTTTTTAAAATTATTTATTTTATATTTTTATTAGGTTTGTTTCACTAAGATGTACACACGTTCCAAATTTTAGATCATTTCGATTTGTAGAAAAAAAAATGAAAAATAAAATACTACAAGACAATTGTGACCGTGCAATAAACGTTGGACGATGATGAAAGTAGGCAAAATCACTATTCATTTTTTGCCTATAGGCGTTGGGAA